TGATCAGATATATTGAAGAGACGGCAGCCTAAGTTCTCCACATCCTCTAATCGACCTTCACGTGCCAATAAGTAACCGTACACATCCATTCCTAAAGAGAAACGTTTCAAGATCCATCAGCAAGAAATGGAAAGTTCATTTGCACCAAGAAAAAACCAAACCAAACCCATGAACATCTACTTTAAACTGTACCTCTACCAGTAATGGTTCCAGATACACAGCTTCTGAACTGAAAGGCAGGTACAAGCAGATACAGCATTCCCCTGCATGTCTGATTGCATGTAGCTGCTACTCTAAAGTTACTCATCACATAACTACATTATGTACATGTTCTTTTAGGATTTACGCACCTTTTATTAGGTAAGGATCCAGCATTTGTGCTTGTTCAAATTTTAGAATAGAGTTCTTATTATCTCCAGCTCTGAAATACAGGTCTGCCAAGCTCCCCAGTAAGTCCACATTATCCCTCAGCAATGACTTCTTCTCTAAAGAGCTTTAAGAGAAATAAATGCTGTTATTAATGCCATTTTTAATGCAATTATATATAAATATTAATACATTATTTGACTGTATCATGCCCTTTGAACTCTTACCAAATGGTATTTATTGCTCTTGTATTGTCTCCAGTATGCACAAAAGCATATGCTTTGATCCACACGGAAAGCCAATCCAAGTTAGGAATACTCTGAATCACATTGATCGTCATAGAGGCCACTTCAGCACCTTTCACCGACAGCGAGAGCAAGCCTGTGCAGGAGCAGATATACATCAATTTCAGCCATTACAAAGTGCTTTTAATACAAATTAATTGTCTGCAGACCAGAAACTCCATCCCTTGACAAACATAAACAAGCAGCTTAACACTGATTTTATAACATGCATGATGTAGGCATTATATGTTACATGCAACTGCAAGACAAGTTACCTAGTCCCAAGCATAATTCAAATTGTAGTAGTGTTTAATACTGAAATCCCAGCAGCGTGCAGACACCTACCTAGTATGGCATCAAGCGCTAAAGGACACTGCCTCAGTACTTCCTTGTAGCTCGTAACAGATGAGCGTTCTTGACCTGCTTTCTTGTATAGATTTGCCAACATCATATTGATCTACAAGCAAGAGAAATATTGGTAGAGTCAAGTATGAGAAAGGAGAAATCCTCACAACTTTGTCTTCAAGCATGCCTTCCTCCCTCCTCTTCTGGGCAAAACACAAGATTACCTGCTCTTCTTCTTATCATATAGTACAGAATTAAAGTAAATGCTTCTTTCTGAGCCTAAGGATAAACTTTACATTATTTTGCATTTGCACAGTACATCTTGAAATCTCAACATCTCTTTCAAGATATGCTGAGCAAGGACTTGTGACCAGTCTGCCAGAACAAACCTTTGGGGTCCTCTGTCTGGAAGGAATTCCATCAAGAATAGCAATGGCATCTTTATCTTGCTTCAGCATTGTGTAACATTCAGCCATTTTGTATTTCACTTCAATTTCTGATGGTAAACACTGAAATAAAAGGGAAAGATTGAAGTACAAGGTTGCTTTAGTTGGGTAAAAGATCTGAACACAGCTTCCTCACTAAATGCTTACACTATGTTCCTTCCAGTACCTGAAGGGGGCCTGTAGGGATGCTGGAGAGGGACTCTTTGTTATGAACTGTAGTGACAGGACAAAGGGTAACGGGTTAAAACTTAAACAGGGGAAGTTTAGACCGGATATAAGGAGGAAATTCTTCCCTGTTAGGGTGCTGAGGCACTGGAATGGGTTGCCCAGGGAGGTTGTGAATGCTCCATCCCTGGCAGTGTTCAAGGCCAGGTGGGACGAAGCCTTGGGTGCCATGGTTTAGTATGAGGTGTCCCTGCCCATGGCAAGGGGGTTGGAACTGGATGATCTTAAGGTCCTTTCCAATCCTAACTATTCTATGATTCTAAATCTAGTGCAAGAAAGTGACTGATGGCAGTATGAGCCTACTGCTGGCTCATACTGCTCCTGTCTTACAATGAAAAACATGAACTACACATACAAAAACCATCTCATGTTTGAGACCACAGTAATTTTTGCATTAGAAAACACGACATTAGTGGGTTTGGAACAAATTAGCTTTAAATGTCACATTTACTTGACATAAACCCACAACCTAAGGTATTCAGGAAACCTGTAGATGTGGTGCTTAGGGACATGGTTTAGTGGTAGACTTGGTAATATCAGGTTAGTGGTTGGACTTGATGATCTTGAGGGTCTTTTCCAACCAAAATGATTCTATGATTACTGAGTCAGACACATTAATTTAGGCAGTTAGTTTTTCAGTACCTGGTTAGTTTTTAAATACCTGGCTTTGCGGAGTTGTTGCAGCATTCCCAGTTGAAGGTCTTACTTTTGAAGTTTTACTTAATGCTTTTTTCTGCTGCAAGGCCATCGTATACTTACTCACAGCGTTCCTATACTCCTTATCATGGAAGAGAGAGTCAGCATGATACACAAGGAGCTGGTATTTCTGAGATGGTGAAAACAGCTCCCTAGAAGAAAAGCAAACAGAAAGGCTGAGATCAGCTGCTGCATAAGAACCAGAGCCTTACAGAACCGAAGTAGCTGTAGTTTTGGCTTCAACTTCCAACTGTTGCTGCTTCTTTACTACACCGGAAAGACCCTTGAGTATCTCCTCATAAAGGGATTATCTCACCAATTTACTTTATCTCTATACAAACAGAGGTAATAGCCGCCCCTGACACCTCATCAGCAACACCACCTTGTGTTTAGCTGCTTGGCCACTGCTTTCCCTAAGGAAGCAGCCCCCATCCTCCCCATAACAAACCACATCAACTCACATTTTGTTTGAATAGGCTCAAAACTGAAAGCAACCCCGCTCCTTGTACTGCTCTCCTCATCCTAATCCCCATGCTCCCAAACTTTACACCCCCCCTTTAGAACTCTCCCAGTATGTTTGCAGAACAGTTAGGGCTTCAGAATGGGTTTGGGCTTCAATTAGGGCCTCAACCCCATTCAACATGACAAATTGCACCTTATAGGACAGTCCTGAAAAATAATGGGAACTAATTGAGTCAAGGGAATTTCTGTGACCACTGGAAGGAGAGAATTGCCGCACTAATAGGATATTCATGCTGTAACATGCACCCCGAAGGGTACAGGCCGTGCTGCTCCTCCTGAACGCCGGGAAAGGCCGGGAGCAAGAACCCGGCACCAGAAGCAGCTCTAACATCAAACCCACTTCCATCCCTGGCAATGCTCAAGGCCAGGTTGGACACACGGGCTTGCAGCAAGCTGCTCTAGTGGAAGGGGTCCCTGCCCGTGGCAGGGGTTGGAGCTGGAGGAGCTTTAAGGTCTCTTCAACCCAACCCAGTCTATGGCTCCAGCCCCCAGCTCGGTCCCGCCTGGCCGCTCCTTCAGCACCACCGGCCCCGCGGGAGGGCCACTCACGGGTTATTGCCGCTCATGGTGAGGAGAAGGCCGCTGAGGAGCCGCACGTTGGAGTGGAGCCCGGCGGACGCCATCTCCCGGACGTGCTCCACCACGCTCATGCTGACCGGGACCGAGACCGAGACCGGGACCGGGCCCGCCGCCGCCGCCACTCCAAAATGGCGCCACCGAGGGGGCCTCGCCCGCCGCCGCCGCCAGGGTCCCGCTGCGCTGCCGGACGCGCTGCCTGACAGGCGCACGGCGGGCAGCCCCGGGCGGCTGTGCGCCTGCGCAGGGCTGAGGCGGGAAGAGGGGCGTGAGGGGAGCTCGCAGGGAGCGGGAGGAGCCTCTGTCCGGTGTCGTTATATAGCGGAGACATCGCCTCTGTGTGCATGGCTACTGAGTCTGGTTCATTTTTCCTCTTACAGTGTTATTTGCCGGCTACGGCAGGTAAATGTGATTGAGGTCTGAGAGACAGCGAAGCTCCTGCCTTTAAAAACAAGTAACTGAGGAGAAAGACCCGTCAAAATGTGGGTTTCTTCTGGGACACAGCCAGGGGAACCGCCTTACTAGGGCCACTGTTAACTACAAGGCGTAGACTGAAAGGAAGGGTGAATCATAAAATATTTTTTCCCTTTTATTGCAAAAAGGCAAAATATGGCTATATTATATATTACATACATGTAACTGCTACAGCAAATCGTATCAGTGGGAGCTTTCAGTTTGAACATGCTGTCAGTGCTGTCTGGAGGGCAATACACCTCTCAACATGCCAAGGGGTAAACCAGGACTAGTGCAACTGACAGAAGCGTGTTGGTGCTGTATGGTGACAGTGGAACACATATTGCCACAAGGGAAAGAGACAACTGAATAAACCAAGCTTGGATTTGCAGTTCCTCAGGAAGCATCTGACCGATCGGAATGTCATGGCTCTTTCCAGTATCGTGTGATGGTTGTGCTTGAATCGTCCCCACAAAGGGAGCCTCAGACTATGCTACAGCATAATTACATACATATTATCTGCATGTGTTACCCTTTGAAGGCATTTTAGTACCAAGGAGCACTGCCCTGCGGAGGCAGACCTGCTAAATAACCAGGTACGTTGCCACAAACTATAGCCCCTGTATTAACCCCCTGTTTTCAGTGGGAATGATTCACTCCAACTGATTGGCATTACACAATAATGATGGTCTTTTCACCCACCTCTGATTTAGTCAAAGGCCATCCATAAGACTTAAAGCAGTTACCACATTAATTACAAGCCAAGTTTATTGAAAACAAGGTAAAAACCACTGCACTCGACAACACAGCGTGAGAGGCGTGTTTTCCATGGACATACAGTACTGAGACTCTAGCCAGTAGAGCAATCCCACAGCTCCCCCTGCCCCACAGGCTAGCCCATTTCTTCTCTTAAATACAAGCCCCATTTTAAATGCCAGCTGCAGTCACTGATAATGAAGCAGCTTGGATCTGAAACAGCATGTTAGAAATCACTTATTAAGCACCAGCTTAATATTTGCTTACATTACCCAAGTTACCTTTTTGTTCCCTCTAATCCCTCATTGACTGGTTTGTGGTGGGGTTTTGCTTTTCTTCATAAGCACTTAATTCTTCCTTGGTATAAAATATATCCAAAACAAAGGCAAAATACCTAAACACCTTGCTGTGACAATGTTTAATGTTGTTGCTGCTTTGCCTCTTCACTGCCCAGGACCTGACAGACTCTTGTTCATGAACTGCCTCTTCACAAAGCAGATCCACCACTGCAGAAGGAAGCACAAAGTCGGACTATACCCAGAAGGCCTTTCCAGGTGATAAAATAGTGACTTAAAAGCATTCAACCTCTGACAAGCAACAAATGTTAAGGCTCCAATTTTGCACATACAGTTTTCCACACTGGTTTCTGCTAGAATTTAGGTGAACAAGAGGACAGGAATAGACTCAAATTTATAATGCAGGGAGTTGGAACTAGATTACCTTTAAGGTCCCTTCCAACCCAAATCATTCTATGATTCAATAATATAGAATATTATATATAGAAATCTGTAACATATATAACATATAATACATAATATATAGAGAATACATATTATATAATATAGGGCTCTGAATTAAAGCAGGACATTCTACTTTATCTTATTTCTATTATTTTAATTTTGCTGTCTATTCCAATATAATTATGAAAGGATGCATCAGAAAGGTATGCCTTTGAAACTAAATTAGCCCAAATAATTTCAATACTAAATGCAGTCACATTTGCACATGAAACATATGAACAGTCAGGAGGACATTCACTCATTGATTAGCTATTTGGTTTTAATCTGGATATGAGACAAAAGGGTCTGCTTCAAAGAAGCTTTCAAATCAGAACTGCCTGGAAGATGAACAGCATCATTCCTGCCTGTGGATTTCCATCTGAAAACCTTGCCAAGAGCAGATGTGCAATACTTTGAAGAGTCGAACCAGACACCACTTATTACTGCCCTGCTTTTTAAAGTAACCTAAATTGGCATTCACTGTCTTGCTGCATTACAGATTACATTCATTGATAACTTGCAGCCTGCTATTTCACTAGCCTTGTAAAAGCCAGGAAGCTTGTGCCAAAGTCATCCACACCTGATCCCTCCCCCATCATCTCACTTCCCTCCACAGCAAACCTCTCATTAGATCTGTGATGATCACATTAAACTCTTACCTTACTGGGCTTGTCACTCTGAGGATCAAATACCTTCTCACAAAGGCGAAGACCAGTTTCTTGCCTCAGCTGCTGCAGGTAGGCCCTCATCACCTCTGAAACATAGCACAGGAAAAAACAGTGGAAACTGAGGCAGCACCAAATCAAACTGAATGGAACAGAGAAACAACAATTACTGCTTACAGCAGGAAGTGAGTTTTCACATCTGTAGGTACTCATCAGCTGGCTGAGTTGGTTTGCTCAATTTACAGCCATAACTGGGATTTTTATGGTATTTTTATTTTAAGGATCATACAAACTCTTTTCTGCTCTCAGATACCTTTGCTCACTGTGGGCTTCCTATTCTGCCAGTGCAGCAGTTAGCTTGGGCTCCATTACAGATTTTATCTAGTGATTAATGCTGATGCAAAAGGGAGACTCAGATCCCTATTTGTTCTGTCAGATCTATGGATCCAGGGAAACCACTGCCCCCCTGAGGTCAGAAAATCCAGCTCTGCTCCCCTCCTAAAACGGAACTATGGATTTAGAACATTCAGTTTTAACAGCAGTATCTCTTACTGCAGTTACAAAAAATGCAGCTGGTAAAGTAAGAGCCCAAGGAAGCTTTTTGGGATGCTGGATTAGCCTTACCTTCCTCCTGCTTGTTGGCGGGTTTGGCGTAAATGGCATTAAGTGGAAAGCCAGGCTCCCCGGGGATTGGGAAGTTAGTGATTCCCAGTGTGTACATCTCTTTCTCTCCTTGGCCTTTGGAGTTACACTGGAAGAACCAGACAAACAATGGATTAACAGTTACAAACAACAGCTGATGTAGTGATAGAGCTGTCTGTTTTATCTGTAACACATAAAAACTCATCAGGAAGAACACAGTGTTTCTTTGGAGATCTACAGACTTGGCTAATCAGTGGCTCTGACAATAGGGAGGGGGGTCAACAGGGTGATTTGTGCCACTGGGAAGACAATATCAGCAAATCCTTTCCCAAGTATCCCCAGAACAGACTCAGTTTTCCTCCTGCACAGAAATTCCACTTTTCTTACCTTTTGCAGCTTTTTCAAGCACTCAGAAATGTAGAGGGTTACATAGATCAGTGTTCTGTCAGCCTCGTTCTGCAAAGCAAGAGCAAGCAATGGGAATGAGTTTAAGCCATTCTGGCCTACAATTTCCCCATGAGAGGGAAATGCAATTTATGGCATTTACCCAGCTTTAATTAAGTGGGAGGAAGGGAATTTATTGTTATCTAGCAGAACTATTTCATTGAAAAAATATTCACAGCACCAACCCATCAAAGAACATCCATATGCAAAGTATCTTTAAGAATTACCTTAATTTCATAATTTTTGAAGAAAACATTAGCTTTGAAGTAGTAGATGGCTTCATCTATAATATCTGTGTCCTTAGCTAGCAAAAAAGAAATACAGAGTTAAACAATGCACCATTAAAGTACATTTGGTCATAACTTTTACTCTCTGAAACACATAAATAAGGATTATTGCAAAAGCAAAACCTTGGTATTCACAAAAAGCAGAAGTCAGAAAGCAGTTGTTGCTGTGTGAAACACCAGGGAGCTCAGACTGTTAACACTTGAAGTTCCTGGTCTTAGCAGGAGCTTGAACTCCTTTCTTCTCCCCCCCACCCCCTGCTATGATTTCTTACTTCACAAATGGCACCATTTCAGCAGCTCCCCACTTTTCCACCAGTTGAATAACTCACCAGAGTTTTAACAGTGTAAAAGTCTCCTCGGGACACAAAAATGGTTTTGGAAAAAGATCACATAAATTTCATTGTCCTCTTCAAAACTAAGGGTGAGGAGCAGAACACACTTCTGGATGCCAACCACCAACTGCTTAAATTCAGTATTTCCTTTATATTTCCTTTCCCAAATTGAACCACCACGTTACTGGGGAATAGCTACTTAATGTGCTGAAGGGGAATCCTGACCAGGCTGCCTTTGGACCCTGTTGGGATGCCTGTAACTTCATCTCAATTTTACCCTAAAGTGCTGCCTAACCTGCTCTTGCCCTTTAGAGCAGCCGAGTGTCTTCAGTCACTGACCCAAAGCCCAAGTTCTCTGTAGCTAAACTTCCACTTCCTCTGACAGCAGAGGGTTCACAGCACCATGTCCTCCTCAAAACTTACTGACGAGCACAAGAGGAAGCATGAGAATAGTAACCATAGGCTTTAATTACTGAAACAACTGATTTAGCTAGAGCGTATTTCTCTGTGCGTAACTGTTCGCTATGATTTGAACAACTTAAGTATTTGAAAACTTCTCTATAAAGTGCAGTTTATAGAAATATGAACTAGAAATAGCACTCCATTTCCAATCAACTCATGGCTCCTCTCACCATTCTTGCTAGTGCTGGCTTGGAACAAACTGAGAGATGATGATGAGCTATATACAGGCAGTGGTTTCAGAGATTATTATAAACTTACTTTCCCGAGGTGCTGGGCCTTTGAACTGGCTTCTGATGGGTAACAGTGCCATGTTCCCAACTAACTTGGTGTCTGAGTCCATTAAAGTGGAGTGGTAAGCCTAGAGATGGCAGGAACAGATAGTTATTAACGCTGCTGAAAAATAGACATTTCCATGTCTGATCATGTGTCCCCTGTGTCAAGTAGGAGTCAGTCTAGTTTGTTAGTGATGCTTCCAGTATTTTTTCCTTGCACAAACAATGTCTGTTTTCTCTTTAGGCCCAGATCTCAGAGCTATTCTGGTCGAGACCATGGAAGCATCATCACTGGCACCACTTCTGATCACAGTGAAGGGAGACAGCATAAAACAGGTACGGGGAGGCTGCCAGACCCCATTCTGCACAGCACCAAGGCAGCAGCAGCCCTGTTCTCCTGCCTCAGTTATGGGGCCATGAAAGTTAGTTGGCCATTAAATATGACTGTATTTTATTTGCATGTCTAGCTAATAATATTAGCTAATAATAAATAAAACGAGTCTTAACATGAACCCACACAGCCAAAAAATAGACCCTTCTGTGCACTGTAAAACTGGTCTAAGTAAAAAAAAAAAAAAAAAAAAAAAAAAGACAAAATCCTTTCTGCATGTGACAGATTCTCCCTGGAAAACCGATTTTTAAGCACTGATGAGTCCAGCTTTAGGCACTTTCCAAGCATTCCCACCAAGAAGCCTTCACCTCCTCACAGCCTATGTTTTGTGGGGGGAGAAGGGGATGCAGCCAGGGGCGTGTGTGTGGAAGCAGCATCCCCTAGCAGAAAGAGGTGTGAACAACACCAGAGCACAGCACTGCTTTTTACCACCCTCTTCCTGGCTGCAACCGGGGGATCCCCGGCAATAGGAGGAAGAGGAGGAGGAAGACGAGGGCGTCGCCCTTGCAACAGCCTCCCATAAGCAGCAATTTCCCTCTTTCACTGGGGTTTCTTATCGCCCCTTTGGTCCACCAGCAGCTGCCCAAGGCCGGCAGAACCCCTGTCCCAGCCCCGGGGGGAGCGCTCTCACCCCCCCGGCCCGGCCCCACCGCCGTGGCCGCTGCCCTCCCCTCTCCCTGCCGGCACGGGCAGGTTAAGCGCCGGATGCGAAGCCCCCTCACCGGCATCTCGAAGGGCAGAAGGCAGGTCAGCGGGGCCGGGCAAGGGGAAAAGCAGAGAGGAGCTAGCAGCAAAGCTTCCGCCTCTGCCTCCGCTGCAGGAAATGAGGCAGCAGAGGCGGTACGAGGAGGGGAAGCCGAAGCAGAGGCCTGCGGCGTGCACCGCCCCGAGAGGCACCGCTCCTGTGAGAGCATTGCCAGCGCGGCGAAGGTGCTCGGAAGCACACGCAGAGGGGGACTTGGTTGTTTTTTCGTTCCCCATGGAATTTCCCCCTTCCCTCTTACTTTGCAGTGACCAGCACTGCAAGTAATCCCTCCTTAACCTTCCCCATGCCACACTTTCCTTCTCCAGCCACCGTAGCATCTTCCTTTCTTGCTGGAAGAGGTGAGCTCCTGTCTCCCGCAAGGGTCAGTGCTTGACAAGAGTGCAGGAGAGGACGCTTTGCTTGCAACTGGTTTTCTCTCCTGTGCATTTGCAGCACTCCTGCGCATTGTGTGCTCTGCCCTAACAAGCAACAGCCGCAGCCAGCTGCTGGGCACTCGGTGTAAGGAAGCACAGAGTGCGGCCAAACACATTGTGTCCAGTGGGATGCAGTATTTCAAGGTGCATGCTCCTGTTACTATCAAGCCATAACGTCCCATATGACCCAGTACACTGAATTTGTCCCCTGGTAGATGACTCCTGGCATGATTCAGGAAGAAAAACTTGAGAGATTTGGAAGTGCATCAGGGTAATCTAACTGCAGGGCTGGGGTTTGTCCTTTTGACATGTCACAGGCATCACTTGTCCTGAAGAAGCACCAGTCTGGAGGTGAGGGAAGCCACCAAAGGTTTCCCAACGTTTGCATCGTTTAATTCAGCCAAATCTGGTCCTGCCACGAGTTATGTGATGAGCCTCTGAAGAGCTGATGTTTTTTCACAGCTCTTCCTGGTGACTGCAATGGCTATCTTGAAACTGAACTCTCAGTGTTCACTAATTGTGCTGGGAGTAAGGTTTTAGAAATGCCAAGTATCACAAGGCTGGCAGTTTTTGCAAACCTGGCTTTGAAAGACAATTTTAATAGCTCTTAGGTGACATCTTATTTTGCAGTTTTGGGTTGTTCCCATTTAAAAGACTTCATACAATCATCCATGGCCTCCACGTAAGGACGCAGGGAAGGTCTTTTCCTCTAGACATGCAGCATTTGTTCATCTGTTGAACCTCCCTTCCTGTTTTGACTGTGCAGATGCTTATTTCAAAAATAAGCACCAGAGCAGCATGACCATTTAATCATTTACTTAAACAGACATGAAGAACAACCCTACTGATGAGTAAGAAGAAAAATTACACCTTCTGGACTACAAGCAAGAAACTACAGAACTAAACTCTGTACCAAGTTGCTATCACAGCCCAGGCTTAGGTAAGTGAAGTTGTCTTCAAGTATTTAATCCTTGATTTGGTTTCCTTTAAGGGGTGTCCTTGCTCTCAGACATCTGCTGACTGTTCCTACAAAATGACATCAGTTATTCTAGTGAAATACTTGGCTGCACATATCTTGTGAGGATGGGGTTAATTTCTAATACATGGACTATATATAGGTGATATGCCTACATCTAAGCATTCACTGATGTTAAGCATTTCACGGTTTAGAGTATTTGTTGCTGAATTCTTTGTTAGAAACTGTTAACATGACTGCACAAGACCATCACCAAGTTCTTGTTTTCTTTCGAGTGTTGCGCTGCGCTGAAGATGTTATTGATGTATAAATCACTTAAAGCCATGCATGAGTTGTACAGAAAACAGCCTTAAGAAAGCTTAAAATCTGGGCTTTTCCAAAGTGAATGTAAAACACTCGTCTTCCTCAAGAGGCTGGGTTTACCAGATGCCCCTTTGAAGCTGCCAGTCAGCTCTTTGCCTAACTCAGGTTCAGTTATCAAGTACAATTCTTTCTCTCATAATGAAACTACTTGCTTATCTCCAGTACTACTTATTACAACCTATTGATGTTCAGTGTTACCCCTTTTGCAGATAGTTGTTTTCAAGCATTCCTGTGCTTAAATGAGATACATCAATATGTGAGGACCTTGTATAGCCCATGTGTTTTATAACACGCACGCAAGAATAAAAATTGTTTATTAAAATAGTTACAAGGGCATAGAGCTCACTTTTCATTATAAATAGTAGTTATCTTACAGATAAAACATTGAGTATGTTTGTGTAGGAGTGGATTTTCTTTTTCACTTTTTAACACAAACAAGGTATTTTCTCCTCCCATATTTGAACATTCACTTTTTACTCATCCACATGATCTTGAAAATATTCATCCACAAGAGCAGATTTATCTTCTTCACATTCCTGCCAAAAAGAAAACAGAAAAGGTAAAACCTGACTTTTCCCCTCGTGGCTGCTGCACCTAAGAAATCTTAGTGATCTTAATGGTCCCTTCTGACCTTTCAAGCTTAAAAGACATTACTCATAAGTGTATTACAACTTATATTATGGATTCTTTTTAAGGACCCATAAGACTATCTTCTCAAAGAAGTACTTTACCTTTGGTTCTTTAAATTCAAGATCTTCTCCATACTGAATCGTAAAGTCTATGTGCTGCAGGACTATGTTTATGCTTTCCTCATCAGAGCAATCAAAAGGGAGAAATCGAACCATACCATAGTCATCAATCTAGAGAAGGGGTTCAAAGGATGTTAGTCAGAAAATGCAGCGAGTTCTCAATCACAGTACTCTAAGCTACCTCCTTAAATCACACTTAGGTGTTCCTTGTCTGAAAAACCTAATAATATAATCTGAAAAAAATAATGAGTTAAAATAGGCAAAAAGTAAAATCCTCAAGTGCCTGAATGTCTTTCCAATCCTGTCTTTGTTAACAGTCTGGTAGGTAAATACGTATTTTTGGGGTGGGGAGAATGATTATAGAACATACAGTATCAATAACAGCAATGAAGTCAGCAACCACACAGTATGGTTTATACGTACAGGACTGAATTTAAGGGTACCAGTTAAAAAGCAATATACCCACCAATCCACATATGGATTTAGTCAGCTTTTTAAACATTTTGCTTTTCAATATATTTGTAGAATCTTCAATCATAGAATACATATCTGGATCCAAGTACCTGGGAGAAACAAAGTCACTGTTAACATGGAAAGAATCCTTGGCTACAGAGCAAACAAGTCATTGTGCTTTTAAATAGCTGCCAAAAACATTTGTGATCCAAATGAGCTAACTGTATCAGAACTTAAAATGTGTAAAAACAATTTTTGTAGATATTTGAATATCTCACAAATGTAAAAATAACACATACGTAATTCAGTATGGTCAGTATCAAAACCCTGATATGATCTGTTCTGGTTTAGGTTTTGAAGTACAGCAGCCTGCAATGTCATTCAGAATAAGTTATTCAAGATAACTAGTTACAGAAAAATCCAGAGGTAAGTACAAACATGGAGCTAGCTTTTTGATTCTGACTAAACTGTAAGCATCCCACCCAGGCATTTAAAGCCTATGTTTGATATCAAACAAATGCATCACAGAATCATAAGTTAGGGTTAAAAAGGATCTTAAGATCATCAAGTTCCAACCCCCCTGCCATGGGCAGGGCACGTCCCATTCCAAAAGAGTATGTTTTAATTGTGGGAAGCATGAGATTGAATTTTGAATGGACATTGCTTCCTCATGTTACATGATAAAAGTAGGTTTTTGGAACTTACTTTTCTATTTCCTTCTTGGCTTTCTTGCTCAGCAAATCCATTTTGGTCATAATGTTAATCTGTGGAATCTCTAAAGATATCATTGCACTGAGAGCTGCCAGAATTCCAGAGATAAACTGAAGGAGCATAGAAATGATGTAGTTAAGCACAGAAAAACACAACACCAATACACAGACACTCAACCACAGACCAAGTCTAGCTAGTGAATACATGAAACATGAACACAAGCCACGTGAGGAATTATTCTCTGCTGGGAAAGGGAGGTGCTGAGTATCCCATCTGCCATCATATCTGGATCTGCCACTGAAAAGGGCATGAAGAAAACCCAAAGCCCGTCCCTGGATTCATACTGCTAGACGGGAAAGCAGCCTGCTCTCCTTCCAGATATGAGAAAGCCCTCATGGAATGACAGGAGAATTTTGCTTGGAAGGGACTTCTAGAGGCTATTTCGTTCATACAACTACTAAAAGCAGAGGGAACTTCAAAGTCAAATCAGGTTGCTCAGGGGTTTTGCCTGGTCAAGGCTTGAGTAGCTCCATGAACATTCACTACACAGTCTCTCCATGCCCTCTTCCCACAGCACAGATCTGCTTTACATCCAACTGGAATTTTCTTTGGTGTGACCTGTATCTGAGGCAACTGAAGAATGCAATCACATCTCCCCCAGCTTAGCATTCTTCCTGCTGGACTAAACAAACCCCACTCTGGAATTGCTCTGATTCTTTGTTCATTCTCAGTATGAACTTTTACAACGGATTTTGAATAGATACCTTAAAAGATTCCACCATAAACTGAGAATCCACCAGAAAAACTCCACAGACACGGAATTCCCATTGCTGGAGCTGCTCCACCAGCTGTTTCATCACTGGCAGATGTGTGTAGAGCTCGATCTGACCTGGAGAACACGCAAAACATCAGGCACGCAGGAATGCGAAGCCAGGCGGAACAGTTATCTACGCTATAGTACTGCATATGAAGGACACCAGAACGCTGATGTCTGCTTACCTGGGCAGTCAAACAGCACATAGTCATCCTCTACGTGCCCAAGGCTTTCCTCCAGCCAGTTGAAGTTATTGGCGAAGTATTCCATGCAGAACACGAGGCCGCCGTTGGGTCCGAACCGTAGGGAATCATCCTCCATCACATCATCCACCTCTATTAACTCGCGGATGTCTACAACAACACGCACGCACAGCGGCCTCAGCTCGTTCGCTCGCAGCGGTGCCCCGTACCGGCCTCCCGCCGCCTCCCTCCTGCGCTCCCTACCTGCCGTAACCGGGTAGCTGAAGAGCTCCGCCGCCGGGTCCAGGTTTACCACCTGCACGGCGCGGCCCAGCGCCTCGCAGTGCTGCAGCATGGTGGAGCAGTACGTACTCTGCAAGGCGCACACAACCGCTGTCACGGACCGACCGCGCCGCTATCACCTCCCCGCCGCCGCCCGTCCCCCGCCTCACCTTCCCGCTGCCCGCCGGGCCCATCACCAGCTGCGCGTACCGGGGCATGGCGGCGGCGGTAAATGTCCGCTCCCGCGCGCCGTAGCTCGCGCGATCCCGTACCGCCTGGTAACGGGGCGGCCCCGCTCTACTACGGCGAGCCGGCGGGCTCAAGCCACGGCTCGTCTCTCTCGCGAGACGGCGGCGGCGCTGTGGAGGGCGCACGTGCGGCGCGGGGTGTGGGACCCACCGGAGGAGGACGAGGAGGAGCCGCCGCCGCCGCCGCGGCCTGAGGGGCCTCCCGGGTAACGCCAACGCCGCCGCTGCCCCGGGGCTCCCCCTCCCCTTCGTCCCGGTGCCGAGGGGCCTTTCCCAGCCGGCTGCCAGCATCCTTCCCTCCGCTCCGGCACCCTCCCTGTGCCCCGCTGCTGCGGCTCTGCCCGCTCTCCCTGTGATCCCTTTCGTCTCTGGTACCTCAGCGTCCTCCGTTCCCTCAGCTCTGCCCCCACCTCACCATGTCTGTGATCCCATTTGTCTGACACACCAGCACCCTTCCCCTTTCCCCCCACCCTCCCCTCACTTTTATCCCCTTCGTCCCTCATTTGGGAGCTCCATGGGTCCTCCCAGCATCTTTCCCCTCATTACCACCGTCTGCTGCCTTTCCCTATCGCCTCCCTGTCCCCCCATTACCTCTGGCATTTCCCCCTAGCTCTCTTCAAAGCCCAGGCACAGCTTGTGCGGCAGCTTGGCTCCGAGGCTTCCACACATATATCCTGCTTGCTCCCAGTGATCCTGGGGCAGTTATGCGTTTCAAACTCCTCTCCTGTTGGCCCCCATCTTCTAAACCCCTTGCCTGTAAAAGTGTGCATGCAAACCACTATACCAGTTGGTTGAATTTCATTTTCCTGTTCTGTGGTGGTGGGGTTTTTCTTTGCCCAAACCTGTCCTAGGACTAGATTGTAACTCTTCAGGTACAGATTTAAATGATTCCTGTTCTTTGCCACTGTACTGGCAGTACCTTCCCCCCTCCCTTAGTGTTCCTGCTGTTCATATACCACTGATTTAACATGATGCTTCACATCTTAACTCAGTGTATTCTGTAATTCCATGGGGTGTTCTTGCAGATCTTTCTTAATTTCACACTTTTGTGGCACTTTGTTCCCCCCCCCCCCCATGTGCTAAAATTCCATGCTGTTTGATATCTTTTGCAGCCTTTTCCCATATATTTTTTGATTATGTCTTGACTCCTGTTTTTAATTCTCTGATTTTTCCTCCTCTTAGGATTGTACCTGTTTTCTCTGGGATCCATCAATCTCTGGGGTTCCTCTTAAGCTGGGGAAGATGTGAATAACTCTAACCCAGAACTTAGGTCCTGCTTTGTTTTGTGACCTCCAGGCGTGTGACATGGCCACGGATGTAGCTGAGCCTGTGGTCCCTGACTGCAGAGGAGAAATAAGGAGCGGTGCCAGGTCAGATGGCGACTACCCCCTTCGGGTTCTCTACTGTGGAGGCAAGTGCTCAAAGATCAGTTGTCCGTGATTCTGACAATGTGCTGTTTGTGAGGGCAGCCTAGCAGAAACAGTGAGAGCATCAGAGATCCTCGTTCGGTCAGCTTTTATTGAGAAGCCAGACCATGGTCAGCTTGAGCTTTCTGATTGTCTTTCAGCAGTTATGGGGGCTGAGAGATGGAGGGTACAAACAGCTTTCTGTGAGTAAAAGAAGTGTGAGTTGTGCTCAGATTGTGACCTGTTGAACAGAGATCTCTTCCTGCAGAAAGCCAGTAAAGCTTTTAGCACAGAAAACACCTTTAAGCATTAGTAGGACAGTAAGAAATAAAGTTAAGAGTTCATGAAAGTAATTGCTGCGCTGTGTTTAGAATTATCGTTTACTCATGACATTTGTAGTTATGTGGATGAAAGCATGAGTTTTAGATAAGGATGTTATGTTCCTTTGGGCTTGAGTGCAGTTGCAGGGGGTTAGGAAAGAATCCCTGTGCTGTGTGAAAGTTGGGAGGGTTGGTTTTGGTTTGTGCTGGGTCGAAGCCCCTCTCCTGGACACTGACAGCTCTTGGTAAAAGGAAAGCCAACAAAATCACATGGTAATTTATTGGGAGTATGTTTTGCCAGGTAGAACTGGTGTTTCTTTCTGTAGCCTTTCCCAAA